ATCGTGCCACTCCTTCCCTGCCGCTCTGCCACCCGCAGCATGTACAGGTGGCTGTGCGGCAGGGCTGGAGAGGCTGTCACTAGTCCCGTAGAATGTGCTGCAGGCACCGCCAGGCAGCATATTCTGCTGTGTGAGGGCACTCTCCACTTAGCCCCGCCCCCTGGCCGCCGAGACACAGAAGAGGGCCCTGCGGGAGAGGGAAGGTAAGTCTTGAGTGGGAAGGGGGGATTGCTGGTGGTATTCTGCATAGCTGTCTTTTATTATAATGTATTGCTGGGACTTGTAGTCCCGCATAGCTGGTGGTATTCTGCATTGCGGTATGATGATGATAGCACCAACTATGTAGGACTACAAGTCCCAGCAATGCATTATATTTTTAAGTAGGGATGCACCACTGCCAATACTGGGCATTTTCACAAGTACTCGTGAAAATGCCCCAATACTAAACGCAGATACCGGTGTACTGTCGAGAACGCCGACCTCAGCATCTGCACTTGCGCACAGACCAATATTATTGAGGAAACCTGGATTTATTTACAAAGTATTTTGTTTAAATTGTTAATTGTGACTGTTAATAATATTCCATCCGTCATTTACTGCCATAGACGGCATATTATTAACGGTCACAATTAGCAATAAAAATAAATACATTGTAAATAAATGCCGGTTTCCTCGTTAATCCCGTCTGTACGCAAGCGCAGATACTGGGTCAGCGTTCTCAGCAGAACACGGCACTAAAATTTTAAACACGCGGCTGCCTGAGGTCCCACGCTTGCTGAAGGTTCTAGTTACGCCTCTGAGTCCAGATACATATTTTAACATATACTGTATTCCTTAACTGGTTAAGGAGACAGTATAGACATATCCAACGTGTTTCAGGGGCTCATACCAATACACCCTTCATCACGCTTTGTCCGGCGTGTGAGAATGCATAGAGCTCTGCAGCAGCTGATTTGGCAGGATTATTCTGGAGGCCAGTGATGTGACCTACAATTACAGACATGTTCTATTCACTCACCATGGAAGGGGAGACGTATTCCGAAGTGGAAATAAGGATTTTAAAGCTAATCTACAGGCAAAAAAATTATAATTTTGTTTTCCACCCTATCACCCTCCCCCCGCCTAGCTAAGCAGACTTTAAAAGAAGAACTCTGGGCAGAATTATTCTTAACCCTTGCAGTGGGGCTACCCCTGAAGTGCAAGGGTTAGGTGCTTGCTTTCATCTAGGGACAAAAATAAAAAAGTTATACTCACCCGAACCTCGGAGTCAGCTTGCTGTTAGAACTGTTCCTGCTGCTTCCTCTGCTCCAGAGATAGAATGTCCCTCGGCATTCTCACGTGAAATACAGTGTATTGGATGGGTTGACTCACAGGAGCTTAGACTGCTGAAGCAGAGGAGGAGAGAGCCTGAAGGAATCGGTCTAACAGCCAGCCGGCTCTGGGGTTCAGGTGAGCATAACCTTTTTATTTCCCTCACCTAGACAAAAACAAGCACTTAACCATTGTGGTGCAGGGGTAGCCCCACTGCAAGGGTTTAGAATATTTCTGCCTGGAGTTCTTCTTTAAACCCTAAAGCAACGTACCCAAGTCCGAGGTCATGTGACACATGGCCTCTTCCACAACCTATTGATTTTGAATGGGAAAAATTGCCCCTCCAGTGCACCATAACCCATATTATGCATGGTGATACACTGAAAGGTGATACACATTTCTTTGTAGAGTGCCAGGTATGACCAAGCCCTGAAGACTCCCCCCCCCCAAAAAAATAAGCGTGCCTTAATAAATCTGCATCAACGGAACGCGTTTTTGTGCGTTAAATTCACGCATTAATTTTGAATGGGATGGCAGTGCATTTAATGTGCAGACAATTGTACCTTCCCGCTTTTATTAACACTCTGCATGGTGTGTGCGTTGTGGTGTGCTGCAATGGGGGCACATTGCCAACCTAAATAACAGTGCACTTCGCACGTTACCATACACTGCAATTTACCGGAACGCACTGATCTAAATAGGCCCTATGGCTACACTAAGCAAGCAGGCTGAATCATCTGGGCCATCCAGGAGCTCAGAAGATGCTCATTATTACAAATCATGAACATTGATGGCTTCTATGGGGCCAGTCTTGGGCATTGCCAGGGCTGGGATGGGACCTGTTCAGTCGCTCAGTGAACACACTATAGACACTGCTGCCAGCAAATAAGTTAATTATAAGCATCAAACTCTGCAGTGAGACTTTGGACTGATCATGTGCTCAGCCAGAAAACATTGTGCAATAGTACTGAATGGAGAGAGATTTCCATGAATTAAATCACTGCATAAACTACAACTGCTTTGATGTGTAGAACCCCCGAGCCATCAGAAATGAATACACCACGAGGACTGATATTGCTATAATAGACAGGACTGTGTATTCTGCACTTTACATTATGAAGATGGTAGCATATAGTAAGGGCTCATCCACACCTGCTAGTACACAACACAACACGCTAGATGCACTGGTGCGTTGCACTGCCATTCATTTGTATGACACCTCAACAAACCTCCCGCAGTTTCTTTCCATAAAATATCTTTTGAATCTTTTTCATCCATCCTTTTCGGATCTCAGTGCTGCTGATCCCTTCTGGGCTTTTTTTTTATTTTTATTTTTTAGCAACTTCCTGTCTACATACACTTCAGCATCAGCAGCACATCATGCACACATGGCAATGGAAGGCCATGCCCGTGCAATGTGCGTCAACACCACTGCCTGTAATCTCCACCAGAGGGCGCATGTGACATGGTAACAATGCAGGGGTGCAACTGGCACCCATAACAAGAGGTGTCTGAGCAAATGGCTTGGATATTCACAGCCTCCCCATCTTCCCTGCCACCACATCTTACCGGCCCCCCCTCAACCAGAGCCATCCCTTTAGCTGTAAAAAAAAAACAAAAACTGAATGCATACCTTTCTTCCAGGTGTCTTTTGTTAGGTTATGTCACAGGTCCTTTTAACCTTCTCCTTCCAGCAGTGGGCAGATTCTAAATGCTGCACTATGCTCCTATTAGTCTGGATGCACCAGGTTCAGAGAAGGTGAAAAAGGGTGAATGATGCGGGCGTCACTCTGGAGGAGAAGCAGGGCCGGATGGGTGAGCAGGTTAGTCTGCGGGGGGCTAGGGTGAGTATTGCAGCTGAACCTGTTTTTTCTATTCATACTGAGCGGTAATTTTTTTTTGGGGGGGGGCTTTAATTACCGAGAGTGGTTATTTCAGACACCCAGCTCTCCTCCAGAAAGATATTAGCAGGCCCTGTCAGTGTGAATCAGTGTACAGAGAACTTTCTTTTTGAAAATCCCCTTCCAGCAAAATCCTGTGGGTTTAGATGAGATCTTATCCTGAGCCAATACACACAATGGCTGGGGCACTGCGGCTTCATCAGTAAGGCTTGTGTGTTTGTTTTCGTGGGGGCATATATGTGTGATCTGCAGACAGCGGGATGAAGAACAGAATAATAGGCAAGTGTGTACGAAGCCTCAACATGTGATATAACCAAGAACAAAGAGGTCACCTCATCCTTGTCATATATAGAAGAGAATTTATATAAGTTATTATACTTGGCACAAAATATTCTACAAACATTAAACTATCACACCATACCCACTGTGCCGAACTACCACCCCAACACCCCCCATCCCCAGCTCAAACTATCATCCTTACCCTCCCTCCCCATGTCCCAAAACACAAAACACACAGCCGGGGTTTCATTATGTGAGTGACCATGAGTAGAGGGAAGCAGAGATGTGACCATAGTGCACGAGTGATAACAGCAGAATGGGGGCGATGAGGATTGAGGAACAGCAGTGTGGGATGGGGATGAGGAGTGAGGACAGCAGCATGGGATGGGGAGGTGAGGAGTGAGGACAGCATAATGGGAACAGTGAGGAGTGAGGAACAGCAGTGTGGGATGGGGGTATGGAATGAGGGACAGCAATGTGGGATGGGAGTCAAGAGAGAGGAACAGCAGTGCAGAATGGGGGCGGGGATGGAACAACAGTGTGGGATTAGGCTGTGAGGAGTGAGGACAGGCTAGAGTTTGTTTTAGATAGAGTAGAACTTTCCCTTCTCTCTCCATCTCTAAAACACAACAGGAAGGAAATGAAAATCTCTCCAAAGTAAGCAGAAATCCCCCTTAGCTTTCACCAGAGCAGGCGTCCCCAGTGGTAGATTTTCCCTCACCTTTTATTTCTGTGACAACTCTCAAACTTTGGATTTCCCACCAATTTTTGTCCCCAGGAATCTTCGCAGCAGGGACACACACACACACACACACACACACAGCAATAACAAAATGAACAACGTTTTTTGTTTTACGTACAATGTAATAATATTTCATTCTGCTCCAGGTGTATGTATACAATTCTATACAATACCATCAGATGAGGTTCTTCAATTAATAATAATAAGTTTAAAGGAGAACTATGAGGTGAGTGAAAACCACTCAGCCTCATAGTTCGAGCCGACGTGTGACAATGAAAATGACACAAGCAGGCTAGTCAATCACGGAGCTGGGTGGATCAGTTGCGGCTGCGGCGGTCTCAGTATACTGCTAGCTGTAGCTCGCGGTATACTGAGCTTTGGGTCACGGGAGGATGCTAGTTTGTGTCCTCCCGTGAACCTTAGGAGAACTATGGGGAAAAACACTGACCTGACTGTAGGGACGGAATGCAGAGCACAATATCTACATCAGAATAAAAACATTAGTTTGTTATCTTTCGGAGATGTTTGTACAATTGTGAGTTTGTTTTCCAAACCAAACACTACAGAAAGCTTTGAAAACCAGATCATGAAACCATGTGATGATATGACATGTGACAGCACTGAAGGGAAACATTCATGCCGCATAGAACACTAGGACAGAATTGATGGCCGGGCTGTGATGGTGAATGATGCCAACATCAAATGTGAGCTTAAAGTGAACCTGCGCCCAGATCATGCACACCATAGAAGTGACAGATACTGAACAAGCAGTAAGAGTTCTTTAACACAAGCCATCATTCTTCTCCGTATCTACGAGCATTGTGGAGACATTCATATAGAACTAAAGGCAACACTTTCTTTTTTCATCTCAATAGAGTGGTGACGGGTTAGAACCACTGGCAGGTTTTTCTTGCTGGGTGTGAAAGAAGGAAAGTCCAGTTTTAATTTTCTTTAGACTCTTATGTCATCAAACTCCAACACATTTCAGGAGTTCAAAAGGTCTCCCTTTATCAGGGCTTGGTACTGTTAACTGGCATCTGCAGCCATCATGAGACTACCTCTCAGGATCCCAGTCCAGGTCAGGTCAGTCCAGTACACACTTTGTTCAACCGTACAACAGTCATCGGATTCAAACAGGTTTCGGGTAGTGAGGCACTGAAATTTCAGACAAAAATGGTACTATGGGCAAAATGCCGATACTACAAAAACGTCCGAAAATGCAGTTCATTCCCAGATTCTCTCCTCCCCGCTGAGCGCCGGCTACAAGCTTTGGCCTGTGCCCCATCCAATCCCTGCTGCTCTCCCCCCTGGTCTGTGTCGGCAGCGGGGATCGGAGGGGACACAGAGCCGATCTAACTGCCAGCACCAAGCGGAGAGGAGAAAACCTGTCAGGAGGCCGAGCGGGGCCAATTTAGGGAGGAGTGACCTGTCAGGAGGGCGAACAGTACAGTGTCGGGAGTTGGGCTCAGCTCTGGTGACAGGTGGGAGGGGGCAGAGCAGTCAGGATGGAGAGTGGAGCACAAACACTCAGCGATCGGTACGGATCAGTCAGTGTTTATAAATAACGAAGGACATAGTGATTACTTTGTCCCCAGTTATGAATAAACAGGAAGTGCTCTACATCACGTCCTGTTCATTCATGAATGGGGACATAGTAAATATTTACTATCTGCTAACTTTAGGAAAGAGCAGGAAGCAGCACAGTACAGAGGCTTCAGGTATATTTATGACTGGGTTGATAGTATATATTTACTGTCTCCAGAATGTGAATGAACAGGAAGCCTCTGGAGTGCTGGGGCTGCAGAAAAAAAATATATAAGACTCGGAGTCCTACATCTCTATTTCAAAACAGAAACAGGCCCCTGATATTTCCCCAAAGCTCCTAACAGTAAAGTAAAAAAAAAGGTTCGGCCTGACAAATTGTGAAATTTAAAGGGTCCCTCTTCATCAGGGCTTGGTACTGTTAACCAGCATCTGGAGCAATCATCAGACTAATTACCCCTCAAGTCCCTATAATGTTACCAGCCCACTTTGTTTAACAGGAACAAGCCCTGATGGAGGAGGAGGGGCCCTTTGAATCCCTGAAAAGCATTGGGTTTTATGATCATTATACTGTTAAACAAAGTGTGTACTGGTGTCTGGACTCATAAAATGGATGGTTCACAAGGGCTGATTAGTCTGGTGATCGTTCCAGATGCCCATGACGTCAAAAGAAAAAGCCAAAGCATTTCGGGGGGGTTTGAATGGTCCCTCATAATCAAGGCTTGGTACTGTTAACCAGCATCTGGAGCAATCACCAGACTAATTCCTTAAAAAGGCCACTGCTAACAGGGTTGCCTTAAAGCAGCAGTTAAAAGTTATCCAAAAGCAGGCACCTGTAGATGGAAGACGTCTATTTCTCCAATTATCAATTGCACAATATCAAATGACTGTATCATTATCCAAAATTCTTTATCAACAGACTGCTAAATTACTCCTCTTTGCTGGAGAAACTTCCAATCCAGGCTCCCACCAGTGCTGCTCGCATACGTGTGTAGCCATTTGATGACGTGATCACTGTTGAAGGGGAGAAATCGGGGTTCAGACTTGCTGATCGCCAAGCTCATCTGGGGTCATGTGACCAAAGGTCTAGGCTTTTGGTCTTGTGACTATTACTAGCGGGAACCTGGAGCAGCATTCGCAAGGCTATAATTTATATATATATAACGTTCAGCATTTATCTTCCGAGCACCGTTCTAACCAGCCGAGAATCGTACGATTCCCGGCTGGTTTTCGAACATGCTGGTTCGACAGAAGACGTGCGACCGTACAGTAGAAACGGCACGTCTCCGTTCACACTGCTCGATTATCGTACGAAAAACCGATCGCATACGATTATCGTACGATAATCGTGCAGTGTATGGGCACCTTTAGTCCGTAGGGTTCAATATTGAGTTGGCCCGCCCTTTGCAGCTATAACAGCTTCAGCTCTTCTGAGAAGGCGTCCACAAGGTTTAGGAGTGTGTCTATGGGAATGTTGGACCATTCTTCCAGAAGTGCATTTGTGAGGTCAGGTACTGATGTTGGAGGAGAAGGCCGGGCTCGCAGTCTCCACTCTAATTCATCCCAAAGGTGTTCTATCGGGATGAGGTCAGGACGCTGTGCAGGCCAGTCAAGTTCCTCCACCCCAAACTCGCTCATCCCTGTCTTTATGGACCTTGCTTTGTGCACTGGAACAGGAAGGGGCCATTCCCAAACTGTTCTCATAAAGTTGGGAGCAGGAAATTGTCCAAAATGTCTTGGTATCCTGATGCCTTAAGAGTTCCCTTCACTGGAACTAAGGGGCCATGCCCAACCCCTGAAACACAACCCCACACCATAATCCCCCCTCCACCAAACTTTACACTTGGCACAATGCAGTCAGGCAAGTACCGTTCTCCTGGCAACCGCCAAACCCAGACACCTCCATCGGATTGCCAGACAGAGAAGCGTGATTCGTCACTCCAGAGAACACGTCTCCACTTCTCTAGAGTCCAGTGGCGGCGTGCTTTACACCACTGCATCCGACGCTTTGCATCTCACTTGGTGATGTGAGGATTGGATGCAGCTGCTCGGCCATGGAAACCCATTCCATGAAGCTCTCTACGCACTGTTGTTGTGCCAATCTGAAGGCCACACGAAGTTTGGACAGTTGACTTCTGCGCTTCAGCATGCGCTAGCCCCGCTCTGTTATTTGACGTGGCCTACCACTTCGTGGCTGAGTTGCTGTTGTTCCCAGTTGCTTCCACTTTGTTATAATACCACTAACAGGTGACTGTGGAATATTTAGTAGCAAGTAAATTTCACAGATGGACAGGTGACAACCTATTACGGTACCACGCTTGTATTCACTGAGCTCCTGAGAACGACCCATTCTTTCACAAAGGGGACCCCACTTGCCGCACGTGATGAGAAACTCCAGAGCAGCCACAACCAATCCCAAATATCAGCGGAGACACTCACCTCGTCCTGATTACGGATCCGCCGCTGTGCACACCGGGTACAGCTTTCCCCGTACAGCGTCCCTAGAAGCAGCTCGTTGCCAAGGCAATGCACCGAGCACCTGACAGCGCGGCGGCCAATGGGCATCTCACTCCGCATACACGGGAGAATGGGCGGTGATATACAGTGATTGGCAGCACCACAAGCCATGGAAAAAGCGGACGGATTTCCAGCTCCGCCCTCATGCGTCTCCATGGTTGCAGCAGAGCTAGCGGTCAGGTCACGTGACGGAGAATCTGACAGAGATGCGCAAACCTGAGAGAGACAGACAGGACCGCGAATGGGAGACATGGAGGGTAAAATGTAGAAACATACACGGGGATAACCGAGAGACGTGAAGGGCTATAAGAAAGAGACGTACAGGGGGATAAGAGAGAGACGTACCGGGGGATAAGAGAGATACATAGAGGGGGATAATAGAGAGAGAGGCGTACAGGGAGATAAGAGAGAGACGTACAGGGAGATAAGAGAGAGACGTACAGGGGGATAAGAGAGATACATAGAGGGGGATAAGAGAGAGACGTACAGGGGGATAAGATAAGAGAGATACAAGTGATTTTCATTGACAGATATAAACTGAGACTGTCGCTGAAATGAACTTTGTCAGAGAGAGAAGGGGATGTAGACTGGCACAGAGTGATAGAGAGCTGACACTCAGATAAAGAGACTGCTAGTAAGTGAGGGGGACGACCTGTACTAACTGCAAACTATCAAACCAACGTATTTGTTTTTAAAGGGCTATAGGACATTGGAGGGACCTGCACAGTCACCATCAGAGCCGAGGATGCACAAGTAATAGTTAATGAAGCCCTGGGACTACAAACCGCACTGCAATCTCCGTCTGGTATAATCGAATAGCAAGCACAGGAGCGGAGTGTCCGGTGAGTACAATACCCGTCATTCTGCTATGTACCTGGGCATAGGAACATGTGCTGGACTCCAGTGTAGGGAAACTCTTCATGTAGATACATGTTCATGCTGGCGCTATATACCAATCTCCCAGGTGTATACACTACAGAGACGACTTCACACTCACACTGTATGTACACTATTTATACATTTCTAAAGTCATAGATAACTCTCTAAAAGTGTCATTTCTTCATGTTGTATTGCTGGGCTGGATATATATCCTATGTACTTCTCTACAATGCTCCCACTCTCAGCTCTCACTTGGATACATCTTTATTACACACATTTATTAAAACATATTTTTGTTATATTCGCTTTTCAATAATTTAAAATATCAAGTGGACACACACTCTTCTCTCTCTATCTCTTCTCTCTCTCTCCCCTCTCTCTTCTCTCCCCTCTCTTCTCTCTCTCCCCTCTCTCTTCTCTCCCCTCTCTTCTCTCCTCTCTCTTCTCTCCTCTCTCTTCATATACACATATTTATGTATGTGTATATTATCTATCTATCTTGGCTTCTAAGATGTGATTGATATTGATTGGCTGCTTTTGGTGTGTGCAGCGGCTCCAGTTTTTGTAAAGCAGCCCATGAATATGAAATTTCTAGTGTTCATGCAGACCAGTTGAGGATATGTAACACTACTCAGGGATGACATAGCGGTCAGTCATTTTTGTTTTTCTTAGGACAGTTGTAACATAAACATGTATGACTTGTTTCAGCCAAGCAAGCATATTAATACACCAAGTAAACGAGCATCACCCTTATCTCATGGGAACTACAGTAGTCAGCTAGGAATATTCATTTGGGATAACTGTTTTTTCCTCTAAGATCAGCCATGAGCAGAAATCACGCACACTCAAAGTGCTAAATAATTGGCAGTGTTGTGCTGGTTAACGAACGTACGTTTTCATGGCTAGTTTGGGTGTTTTCATATAAGTTAATTTAGAAAGTGGTTAATTTATTGCACATTCCAAAAATGGGATTTGTGTACTATCTCTGTATCACTATAACAGTAAAATCTTTGCTTGTAGTCTATTGAGGAACACAGGACGCCTTTAACCTTAAGGGTTATAGTCCCGCCTCCAGAAGGATTGGATACTGTCCAATATAAAAACTGTAGGTCATCCCGGAAGAACTCCCCCACTATTAGTATGCCTCCGTTTTGTAGCACAGCATACAGAGAGCATGCTCATAAACACAGTGAGGTGGGACCTGTGTCCCACAAAGGACACAAAGAAAAGCATTTCACAGTGAGTAAAAAAAAAAAAAAACTATTTTAATTTCTAGTCCATTGAGGGACACAGGAAGTCTTTAACCTTTGGATCATACTGCCGTCTACAGGAGCACTGGCAAGCAAAAAAACTCTAGGCCAGCCCAGGATAAATCCTCCTGCTACTAAAATGTCTCCTCAGAGGATGAGGGTCTTTTCTACAATTCTGACTTTGCTTGAACTTTTTTTCTTCAATCAAGATTTTTCTCTTATTGCTGCTGGAGCTTTGTCTCTTTGATATTACAGATTTCTGGCACGGTCGACCTCAGCCTGGTTCTTGTAGTGGTTCTTGGTTCTTGTAGGTTCTACGCTTGGACCCTACTGAACTGGACATTGCGGGGATAGCCCAGAAGTTACCTTAGGGCACTGGGCTTTGCGTAGGGTGGTTTCCAGATCCTGTCCTCCTAAAAGTTAGCTGCAGAGCTTTTTTCAGGTCCAGAGCTATTGGCAGTAGCCTGTTGGAAGACTCACTTAGTGGGTAGACCAGTCGGGCTGAACAACAGGAGCTACCTCAATTTTCGGCTGCTGCCTGTGAAGCCTCCAGTGAGTGACAGTGGGACACAGGCTGAGTTTTGTTGTGGAAATTTTACTAGGATGTGTTTTTAGCATATTGTAATATTGTCATCATGTCTCCCTGTGTCTGGATTTCTGGGCCATGCTCGATTGGTGCGTGACCCGGATTTAAATAGGCACTGGGGTTAAACCATTGGAGTCCGTATAACGAGATGCGTATTATACCTCTATTGCGGGCTGCGCTATCCCTTTTGGATACATATCTGCTTTTATAAGAAGACATTGCCTTGTCCGTATACCGGTACCATATATGGATAACCGCATTAGCAATGTCTCCTCAGATAGTCTCAGACCTGTAAGAACAAGTAGAATGATCTTACTAGATACTGGTCACTCGGAGCAGTATTGAAGGGGGTCCATGCTGACCATGATGGGGGATGGGATGGGCAACCACATGGCTGTTCGGCCATGTTGGTGTATTCCCCTTTTCCTTTTGATATGTACCTGTACTTTTTGGGCTGACTGGCAGAGGTTGTAAAGCCGTCTCCCACTGGCCGTCGTCCTTTGACCTTAATAAATGAAGGAGTGGGGGGGTCTGTTCGGCCCTTTTTACACTGACTCCAGCTTGAACCAGCATCGTGTCTTACTCTACATGACTCTACAGTCTACACTCTCCGGTCCTTGCACAAAAGAGCGTAATACAACTGTGCTTTTAAGCACGGGGAAATTCTTTGTGTTTGGCATGGATTTGTGCGTTAAACCAAGCAAATTTCCATAACAGTTTCCTCTCCTGGTGCCAGGCATTGGAACTTACTGCTGTCACTGCTATACATAGTCTCCTATACATAGCCTCAGGCATCTTAGGCTTCACAGTTAGAAGCCAGTCACTTTAGTGATGTCATAGTCAGTACAGGGCCTTCGACAGAACTCCTAAAAGCGTCTGGGGGTGAAGAACACTAAAGGGCTATTACTGACATAAGAATAATTGCTGAAGCAAGTGCAGCATCAGTAAGGAAACAATTTTCAAATGACTTGGAGATTTCATTATTAAACAGAGACTTTAGTATTCATTTCATAAAGTTTGGTAGCAAGATCATAGCATTAGCCAGCTTAAGGGTCATTGGATTGTTAGGTTTTATTGGATCATGGTCAGCGTTATTACGCGAATTATAAAAAGCTTATTGTGTTATGTTTAAGTTCCTTGTTCTACGTGCATTATCCTGTAGCCTTATAACAGAGGGATTCATTACAAGAGGTAACAACAAGACCTGTAGGGTTAGATAGTATATTAACATTTTGTTCTTGTCACTAAGATTCCATATACAAAACTAGGGTTGCACAGATACCAAGTACAGTACTCAGTACAAGTACGAGTACATGTACCGATACTTTTGAGCTCCAAGACTACACTAGAGAAAAATGAAAAAATTAGGAGGCAGCTGTCATTTGTAAGGAGCTCCCGGGATTTGTACATCTCTGTTTTAATGTACGATTTTGTTTTTATAACTATAAATAAAGTGATGCACAGATACCAGTTTTGCGAGTACGAGTCCTGATACTTGCCGAGTACTTACAAGTACGAGTACTGATACATTTTTGTTTATTGTCATGTGACAGTTTTTCTAAAACAATACAGACTAATGATTTCAGGACAGTGGTGGAGTGCCAGAGCCAGGTCCCAGCTGCAACCGCTGCAACCCTGGTAGTTCTCATGAAAATGCCAAGTATCTGTGCATCCCTATACAAAACCTTCACACAAGGATAAGGATCTGTGATTTACTGATGTGACTGTAATTTATAAATCCCATTGAATATTGTTGTCGCTTTTTAGAAAGATTCTTATCCTGGTGTGTTAGTTTTGTGAATTAGGCCTTATTCGTGTTTTGTAAGGCTTGGTTCACACCTGCACTACAACGGGGACGCGCGTCCCGGGATTGTGCGGTCCTATACGATGCAGGAGGCGATGGCCCCATTGATTTCAGTGGGGTGACATCCGCGTGGAAATCGCAGAAAAAAAGTACCTTTTTCTTGCGATATACGACTTGCGGCTGTTTTAGCCACAATCGCGTTCGGAAGCACGGTCGGAATCCCGCACGATCCACCTGGCCCGACTGAGGTGCCATTAGAAAATAATGGCACCCACAGCGCGATCGGTTCACACTTTGGCGACTCCTGGCCACGCGGAATCGTGCACGATTGCTGCGCGGTGAGGTGTCGCCTAGGTGTGAACCTAGCCTGAAGCAGCACATCCTCAATTTATTATGCACCGTGTGTTTTTGACTCATTGGTAATGTACTTAATATATGTTACATGTCCTAGTTCTCTACCTATTTGGGAATCGGAGGTTAAGCTAGAGCAATAGTACCTTGTTTACTCCAATTTGAGGGTCTGTTATGACTCTTGAATTCATTTACTTTTGCATGACATTTAATTTGAAAGAAGACCAATTTTTTCCTTTCATTATTTCTGTCCTGTTAGTTAGAAAAGCTGGGTCATGTCATTATTAAACAATGGCTCTAGTGTTCTTACCCCCACCTTTCATTAGAACCTGATTATAGTCTTTTCAGTCTGATGACTGAGCTGCCTGATCAATCCTGTTATTAGGTTTGATTAGGGAAATGCTAGAGAGTAAACCTAAAATACAGAGTAAATGTTGGGAAATTTTAGAAAGCGCCACACAGTCCTGAAATGTATGTACATAGCTGTGCAAATATCGGAGGCAGGAGGGTGAGCAGGAATACAGGTTAGGTTGGTGTAATAAAGACCTTTCAACCTATTGTGCTGGCACACATTTATCACGAGGTCTTGCGAAGGTTGACCTGGTATTACATGAAAGTTCTCATGCTGCTTCCACTCAGAAACATGTCCTAAATATAAACCTGCAGTCCATTTTAAACATACTCACCCAATCCTTGGAGCTGGCTGGCTGTGACAGCTTTCCCTCTGGCCTGTCTCTTTCTCTGCTGCAGCAATGGCATGTCCCTTGGCATCCTCATGTCCTATACACTGTGTATAGAACGTGATGACTCACGGACCTTAGACCACTGCAGCCGAGGGAGAGAGAGGCTCCAGGGACCAGTCTAAGAGCACGCCGACTCCAAGTATTATGCCAGTATAACTTTATTTTCGTCTCTTAACCCTTGCACTGTGTGTGGTAACTCCACTGCAAGAGTTAATACAAATTTTTTTTTAAAAGAGTTCTTTTTTTTAAACTTTTAAAACCTGACTAAGAGCAGACACCACAATATGCCTGCAATTGCTTTTCCCATCTAGAATAATTTCTCCTCTGCCCAACTTCTTTGCTAAGCCCTTCCAGCCCTGAGTGTATATATCACAGGCAGTCCCCAGGTTACGAACAAGATCGGTTCTGTAGGTTTCTTCTTAAGTTGAATTTCTATGTAAGTTGGAACAGGTAAATATTTTTAAGTGTAACTCCAGCCCCAAAAATATTTTTAGTTTTGGATAGCACAGGGAAGGGTTAACCCCCTGTAACGTTTGTTTTGCTGTCTGTGCCCCTGTTCAGAAGATTTCACCTCACTTTCTGCCCCTATGACAATTGGATTTGGAAACTTTTGGGTTGTTGTGGAAACAAGGATTGGTGATAAAGCTTCAGTGGAGACATCTTTTTCCCATGATAATTCCTAGGAGTGAATTTCCCTTCCTAGGTGTAGATTTCCTCTCACTTCCTGTTGTCTTAAGAACTGGAAGTGAGATTAAATCTTTCTAATGAGGATACAGACAGCAGTAAAACCTCAGTGACCCGGAGGAAGAGGCGGGCACTCCTCGTCTGCATGTCTAACAGGAGCCAACATCCTGTAATGTACGTACAGTCCTACGAACCAGACCCAAAAAGGCATTGTCGGTCCTGAGATCCGCTGTGCCCGATGCGGCCGGGGGCGGCACGGCTCTGTGACAGAAGATGAAAGGGAGATCAGTACACGATCTCCCTTTGATCTTCTCTCAGTCCCCAAATGCAGGAAGTGATGTATATTACATCCGTTCCTGCATTCAGTGTCACTCTCCAGCTACAGAAGCTGATGAAGCAGATCTCGTCAGCTTCTCTGGGGGTCCCTAGGTGACATTAGGGGTCTTGGAGACCCCTGATGTCTCCATAAAGAGGACCTGGCATGTAAATTGGCTATCACATAGGGGGCTTCCTATCCCCCCATGTAATAGCAATAAAGTTGTGTAAAAAAAAAAAAAAGTTGTACAAAAATGAAAGAATCATAAAAAAAATGAAGCATTAAAACATTTTAAAAATAAAAACATTTTTTAAGTCCTCCGCCCCCCCCCCCCCTACGCACATGTTACATATAACCGCGAACGTCGGAGTTTGAGCAGTAATTTCAGGGCCATTAATTACTGATGACGCTAAACTGATGAGCGGTAAAAGCGTTTTAAGCGGCGCCTGTGGTCAATTTTCAGTGTGGTTGTTGTTTGCGATTTTGCGGGCACACGCAATTTTAAGGCATGACATGTTTGGTGTCTATTTACCCGACGTGACCCCGTCTTTTATGTTTTACCAAAAATATGGGTTAGAATAGATGTTTTATAACAAAGTGTATGGACAATTTTTTTTTTTAAAATTTACGGTACTTTTTTCATTATATAGTAAAAAATAACCCCCCCCCCCAACGGTAAGATGACAAATCATTCAGATGTAACTAAAAGTCAACGTCGCCAGAAAAGGGTCACCCAGCAATGTCAATTTGTACCTGTTCCTGTCAGTCAATCTGGCCAAAAAGGGGTAGTAATGGGTGACTCTGTGCATGGCCTGCTTTACTCTGGTCCTATTGTAAAGCCTTTAGTAGCGGAGTCTCCTCGTTCCCCTTCTGCCCTGGTTTACCAGAATTCACAAACTCTAAAGATCCTGCAAAGGTTTGTTTTCAGGACAAAACAAAATATTCTAAGATAACAATGTTTTCTGAGGCATCTCCGGAGTTTGTGGATTCTGGTGAATCAGGGCAAGAACAGCCACTGGAGCTACGGTTTTAAGAGAGCTTTTTAGACATCAGAAGGTTTTAATTATTTGTAAATAGAGCTTTGGTTGTAACCACCCTAACTTCAAAATGGACAAAAATAACCTTCTATCATTTCTGCTTTTCTGCATTTGATTTATCTTGCAGTAATGGATAGCCCAGACACAATAATAAAAGAGTCTGCTTCAATGGAAGAACATGAGAGTCCATACATGAGCAAGACCTGCTCCATGTCTGAGGAGCTCCTCTTGGAAGACCAGCTGAGGAGAAAGCTTAAATTCTTTTTCATGAACCCCTGTGAGAAATTTCGTGCCCGGGGACGCAAGCCATGGAAGCTGTGTATTCAGATATTAAAAATAGCACTGGTGACAATTCAGGTACGTTCTATAGCCAGACATGTGTATGCGATTGTGTGCGTGTCTTATGTATGTGGTTGGCTTTGCCTAAGATAAAGGAAATGTTTGTTTTAGTTATAAATGTTTTTATTCAAATATAAGACAAAAAAGAAGAAAATCATAACAGCCCAAATCACCAAAACAGACGTTGGTATGATGAACTGGTTACAAAAGGCAAGTGCCATATTCAAGAGTGACTGAATTTATAAGCACAGTGTATGATTTATATGTTTGTTTTATCATGTCAATTCAAGAGTGAAACAAAATAACAAATATCTGCCGGTTCAACATTTGGAATCCAAGGGTGCCATATATAATCAGAGTTACCTTGAGGCCCGGTGCAGAGCTGAGCAATCCGGGATCACACCTCCCAGGATTGCGCAGTCCTGCACAATGCAGACAGCGATTGCCGCGCGGCCATCCTAGAAAAAAGGGCAGTAGATTGCATGAGTCTCACGGAGGAATTTATTAGACTAATGTGAACGCCGGTGTGCATGGGAGCTAACTGAAAACAAGGATCAGCTTCTGATCCTTATAACATTGAAAATCACCCTTTGGTTGCAATGTGTGTTCTAGTAACCTGGAAGTTAAAAACATTATCCTGTTTCTGTACAAAAATAAAAAAACGTTTTATAAGACTTTAAATGGCTACTTTATATTCTTGCGCTCAAAGTATAGCTAAAGCCACATTTGTTTAGATATTCTATAATGGTGAGGGGTTAGGTCCCCTGTTGGATTTTTTTTTTCTACTGTCTGTGTCCCATTAGGGAGATGCACTCTATATAATTGTCCTGATCACCAGTGTCCCGGGGGAATGAAAGTGAGGGTAAATCCTAAATTTTGAGTTGCCACCAGAACAGGAATAGAGGGGAGATCTTCCAATGAGTTTCGGAATGTCCTTTTTATTCGTATTCCTTTAGCATGACATGTGAATGCAACGTTTCGGAGCCTCACGGGACCCCTTCGTCAGGCAAAGGACACTCTGCCTGACGAAGGAGTCCTGAGAGGCTCCAAAACGTTGCATTCACATGTCACGCTAAAGGAATACGAATAAAAAGGACGTTCCGAAGCAGAATGGTGTGCGGACAACATATCTTCTAGATCAGTGGTTCTCAACCTGTGTAACCTCAGGACCCACATTTGTCCTCGGTCATTAAGTCGTGACCCAAGTTACACTGCAATGGAACGCACGGCATTGCGTACTGTGCCTTCCGATGCGGGCAATAGAACTGTGGGTGGGAGGTGCATTTGGGGTGCCAAAATGGCAATGCAATGCACTTCTCACACCAAAACGCGCGGTAGGTGCGATTGCGAAGTACAGTGCGTTAATTGCATGGGACTGTGCGATTAACGCACTGTACTAGTATGAATGGGCCCTCAAAAACACAACCACAGACATAATTTCACATACACAGTCCCAAAAAAAATAATTTTTCTTTTTTTTAAAACCCACCCAGTCTCCCTACCTTATGAGAACTGGAGTGGATCCTTGGCCTAGGGTCCAGTGTCGGCTGCTGTGCTATAATGGAGCTCCATCCATATGTGCATTGCTTGTACTCCCTGTAGAGGTGCTGAGAGCCAGTATGTTACATCACTCCAGGCACCTCTACAGGACATGCGAGGGAGCTGTAAGCAATGCACATATGAATGGAGCCCACCCCACCTCAAGGTGACACTCGGCACAGGGCAGCATATTTTGAATGGCTGCTTGGTGCAAGAACTGACAGTGCTGCTCTAGAGGGAGGCTGAGGAGCCTCTCACCTAGAAAAGTGGAAGGCGCACAGGGACCCCCTGAACACGGGGTCGGGACCCACTTTTGGACAGAAATAAAAAAACAAATAAAATATATTAGTGTCTCCATTGTATCCACAATTCTTTTAAAAATGGCTTTAGATATATTTTAAGGGTAAATATTTGTTTATAAAGGCAGACGGCCTTGAGGCAGCATTAAACAAAGTATGCACTATATTCAACTTTTCTTGGAATTAACCAAATTTGTACTGTACATCTGCAGAACAAAAGCCTAACTGTTATAAAAATTGGCAGCCTTAATGACATTCATTGTGTGTCCTTTAGCTGGTGCTGTTCGGACTCAGCAATCAGATGGTCGTCACCTTCAAGGAAGAGAACACAATAGCATTCAAGCACTTGTTTCTGAAAGATTACAAGGATAACAAGGATCCCAGAGACGACACCTATGCAGTCTATCGACAGGAAGATGTTTATAATCATATCACTTTCACTATTACAAGAGTAAGGCTTTGGGAATATTGTATTTATAAACCTAGCTTTGGTCAGGTCTTAGAACACAATATGGCCAAAAGTAGTTGGGACAGCCATCCGAATTACCAAGGAGGTTTTTCCAATAGAGCATGGAGCCGGCTTCCCGACCAATCAGAAAGCTGGGTGCCGCGCCATTACACGGCGCCTGGCTTCCCGATTGGCCAGCTTCCGACCAATCAGTAAGCCGGGCAGTGCGTCATTACATGCTGCCCGGCTTCCTGATTGACCGGGAAGCCAGCTCCATGCTCTCTCGTCAAAAGTGACACGAGACCATGGAGCCGGCTTCCCGGTCAATCAGGAAGCCGCGCTGCCCGGCTTCCTGATACCAGAAGTATGGGGCTAGGCATCGGAGTATTTGGACGAGTACGAGAACTCGCCCAAATACTCGGCACCGATACCGATACTAGTATCGGTATCAGTGCATCCCTAAATTCAGAGAATGGTGTACTTCCAACCTTGTGGCAACTGTTTGGGGAAAACCAGTATGGCTGTGCCCATGTGTACAAAGCCTGCTCCATAAAGACATAATTTTGTGTGGCTTGGCCTACACCGAACCCTGACCGTCCTATAAAACACCTTTGGTTAGGTCTTTAAGTCTAACATCAGTACCTGACTTCACAAGTGCTCTTTTGGCTGAATGGGCACAAATTCGGACAAGCGCAGTCCAAAGTTTTGTGGAAAGCCTCCCCAGAAAATTGTGGGCTGTGATGACTACAAAAGGGGTCAACTCATTATTAATGGCCATTCTTTTGGGATTGGGATGTCTCATTTAAGTGTGATGGTTAGTTCTGCACACACTTTTGGCCATATAGTGTAAGTACTTTGAATGTAGGCAAGTGAGTTAAGAAGTGCATCAGGGAATGTGAAAGAACAGAGGGATGTCCAAAAATAATAATTATAGAGTGCGCCTATAAATTTCCACGAGGTGTGTCTGTCGCTCATTAATGGAGGGGCAAGCATTCTGTGGGCTGAGCTAGTATGCAGCACTTTAAATTGGCTTCAATGCCATGATTTCTGATCAAGCCTACCTATCACACGCATATAAAGATCTAAGTAATCCTCCAGTGTTATAGCAGGCACCATCCTAAAACCTTCAGAGTTCCTGCCTCCCTGTTCTGCCATAGTAACCACCCGAGGCTCAGAAAATCTATATTAGGTCTAGGTATGGCCCCATATGAAAGTGCTTAGGCTGGTTACAGATCACTTAATACTGCGTTGTGGGATGGGGAAGGTAAAGTGCATATCGGCCCCATATCGAGAAGTTAGATTTTTTTGGTAGTTTCAGCAGCAGATTGGAGAGATGGGATCTATAATGGATCTATAATGTGATCTACAATGGGATCTATAATGGTAAGATGTGTTATCAGAAGGTGTCTGCTTTTTACTTATATGGGCACATGTCAGATGTGCCTTCACCCTTTGGTAATCAGAAGCTCTTGAGCAATACCTCAGGCCGAAATGTTGTAATATGTTCTCATTGTCTCTTGTCATTGTAATCGTTGCTAAACTTTTTGTCCCCAGTACCTGGAGCTCAGAAATATCTCTGTTGGCAATCATGCCTATGATAGAGAGGAAGGAGGAAGGCACGGAATGACTGTCTGCCAGTATTTTTATAAGCGGGGCAGCATCTTTCCTGGAAATGAAACCTTTGATATTGACCCTAACATTGAGAAAGGTAATTACAAACTCGGTCCTGTTACAAATCATGTTTATTTTCCAGAAATACATCATATCATTTTTGTTTATATTACACATTTTCATGTTTTGTGTGTATTACAAGAATCCTGCTTTTGTCAATTAAAATTGAACTCTAGGTCGATATACAAAAATACCAATTATTGCAATTGTTTATTTATATAAAATAAAACATCAAATGCATTTTAAATGCAACTAGTGTAAATAACTGGATTTGACTTAAAGGGGTTCTAAACCCTTCCGTTTTTTTTGCCTACTGTATATCTACTGCTGGCAAGCAGTAGATATATGCAAGCAGTTTATAAAAAAAAAAAAAAACCCGCTTTAACAGCGGTTTAAACTTACCTTGTTTTCGCTGCGCGCTCCCGCCCAAGAAAACGAAACTGTTCGGGAGGCCGGAAAGCATCTTGGGGCGGGCGCATGCGCCGTTCGGATTCTCGGCCAGGAGACTAGCAGAGACGCAAGGTAAGTCTATGGACGCGTGCACCCGCATGCAGACACCGTGGGACAGGAAGTGCCAGCAAGCAGACAGGATTCAGCGTTGGATCGGAGAGCCGCCACCCCGCTGGAGAGACAGATGAAAACATCAGGAAAGAAGAAGAAGATCGGATTAAGAGATATCATTTAAGGTAAGTGCTGACATTAACATTGGGGGGAGGGAAAACAAATTTATCCTTTAATGTCACTTTAAAGTGACACTAAACTCAGGAGTTAAATTTTAAAATACATTCAAGTACCTTTTTAACTTTTAACAAAAAATTTATCTTATTTGTGTATCACTCGGCTGTAAATCCTCAAATCATCTCTGAATTGGCACTGTCCTGTCCTTCCTTCTGGAGGGGGGCTACTTTTGTTCCCCATGGTCACTGTGTGTGTTGTAAAGTAGTCACCACTTCAAACTCATTCACTCAACTCCTACAATCTCATGTTTTAGTTTACTGATTTCTATTGAGATTTTAGTCCATCACAGGACGGAGCTTGGAGCGGTGACTACTTTACAACACACAGGGGCTATGAAGAACACAAGCCACCCTCCAGAAGGAAGGAAAGTGTAGGCACCAATTCAGAGATGATTTGAGGATTTACAGCCGAGTGATACACAAATAAGATATATTTTTGTTAATAGTAAGGCTGGGTTCACACCTAGGCGTATTGAATATGCGCGTTTCGCGTCGTGCGTTTTTACAGCGATTCACGGTTAAAAAAACATGCGACAAACGCGCGTTTCCGAGGGCTACTTGGCTGTATCCCAATGGAAACGTGAGACCAAAACGCCCCAAAGAAGTATATGTACTTCTTTGGGCGTAGGCCGTTTTGTAGCGCATTCAGACGGGCTGAAATACGGAAAGGTGTGAACCATACCCATAGAAAACAATGGGATTTTCAAGTTTGTACGTTTTGTAGAGCGTTCATAGAGCGTTGAACGCGCGACAAAACGTAAAGGTGTGAACAGGGCCTTAAGGTACTTGAATGCATTTTTAAGATTTAACTCCTGAGTTTAGTGTCACAGTGATATCAGTTCTTTGTAGTACCCTCTACAGCAGCACTGCAGCAGAAGTTCTTGGGACCAATCGAGTGTCCTGCATTCACACATACTAATAAGAAACATGATGACAAGCAGAGAGAGCAGAAAGCTGATCTTATTGGTCTTTTGCTGCTCCTTCAAAGTCCATTTGCAAGGTACACGGAGGTGACCAAGATTTATGACCTAACTGCAGCAGAGGAAAGTCAGGTCTCTAGGCCGGATGTGCTGCCTGGTCTGTTCAGTTGTTTGCCTGGAATTCAGCTTTAAATAACATATATTAGAATGCTAATAGGCATTTCCTTCTTGCCTGCAGAATGCTTTTTTGTGGAACCAATGACCCCGATAAATGATCCCACTCTTGACGAGCAGTTCTGGAACCTGACACTGGACTTTTATCGGTGAGCAATCTCTACAGAGCTAGCCTGGTTTCTTTGTTCCAGCGAGCTTTTAACATGTGAATTATTTACTTCTCTAGACTTGTGACCGTGGAGATCATGTTTAAACTAAAAGCTATCAACCTGCAGACCATCCGTCACCATGAGCTGCCAGACTGCTACGACTTTACAGTGACAGTGAGTGCGTGTGATGCACCATCTGATTATCTCTACCTATATATTCATTGGTATTGCTCAAATGTGCCCCTGTATGTGATATTTTTGCTGGTGTTCATGCAATAGCACGGTATCTTGTTCTACATGTCTTCGAGTTACTGTATATGTATAGGGCTAGTAAAATAAAGAAAAAGTTACTTTAAAAAGAAATAATAATGTATTCTCCCCAAGCCTATATTTTGAGATACTTTTCTGAAGTGTACCCATGGAAATAATTTATTTAAATGATTTTTCTCCATGTTCAATATTTTCCAAACAATATTGATGTGTGCCATGCAAACACACTCAGTTTTGCTGAACAACTGCTGGGTTAAAGCCCCATTGAACCATCTAAGCACAGTGTCTTAGTGGTTAGCACTGTAAAGGTGCCCACGATCGTATGATAATCGCAAAGTGTATGGCAGGCGTGCAACCGTTTCTACTGTACGGTCGCACATCTTCCGTCAAACAAGCAGGCTGGTAAAACCCTTGGCAAGTTAGTGGCCTGCTTGTTCGACAGCTGCCGAACGGGCCGGTGTGCGCACGCGCACACTGCCCGTTCAGCATTGCAGTCATCGGAAGCCCGCCCCTCAGGGGGGCGGGCTTGCGATGATCGCAAGTACGATCTGCCTGTCCAAGATGGGCAGATCGTACGTTTTTTTAATTACTTTACAACCCTGGCAAGACCAAAGTCTTGCCAGGGTTGTAATGTGTATGGCCACCTTTAGGGTAATCCTAGCCAGGACGCTATTTGCAATGAGTTTGCATGTTCAACCTGTGCTTGCGTGGAAGTACTCTGGTTTTTTTTCCACTCTCCAAAAGGCATGATGGAAGGTTAATTGGCTCCTGTCTAAATTGGCCCTTGTATATGTGTATGTGAAATAGGGGCATTAGATTGTCTCCTTGAGGGTGCGTTCACACCAGCCTTGCTTCATTGCAGGGATGCTGGTGTGCGTGTCCCTAGACTGTGCCGATGCGCTCGATCCAGACACAAGTGACATTTCATTCGGTTCCATGGGCTCAACGCAGTGCAAAGTGGTTGTACCGCATCTCACTGCAGTGCGCTTAAAAAAAAAAAAAAAAGTACTCCATGCCATACTTTAAGTGCACAGCACCGGAATGTAGTGGTGTGAACCGACCCTATCCATGATGAGGCACATTGTGCTGTCTTGTGTTCGGGTTGCGCTAGAAAAAACGGCGCATGAACGGGCCCTGAGGGAAGAGACTGATATGAATTTTTAAGCATGTAAAGCACTGCAGAAATTGACATTGCTGTATAAGTGCCTGTAATAAATAAATACAAAGCAACAACCAACGACATACATTCCATGTGCATCCAAACAAAAGGAGGGCAAAGTCTTACAGTTTCCTTTCTTTAGAAAGCAGCCACAGCCTGAGTGGAAATGCCTGTTCCCTGCCAGCATGCTGAAAAACAGTGAAAACAGTGGTCTTTCTTTACCGGTCCCTTCTGGGTCAGACCTATAGCTCATTCTCCCTGCTGATTGGAGAGCTCTGACTGACCAAGGGGTGTGCAAAACCTCTACTTCCACCCGGAGAACAAGGGTCCTTCTTTAAAACCTATTCCAGTATAAACTGCATAATAATTGCTTTCAGTCAATCTGAGTAGACTGGTAGACTTGCAGTGAGAGAGAGAGATAGTAAAGCTTCACCACTGTCCTGTACTACTAAGTAGGGATGCATCGATATATCGGACACCGAAACCTGTCGGCTGAAAATTGCACTTTTGTCTAAATGACGAATGGGCCATTTTTCTGCCGATATAGCGGTGCATGCCTGCTTTCTTTCCTCCCCGCTGGGCGCTGCTCTGTGTCCCAGCGGGGAGGAGAGAAACTGTCACAGACGGCCGAGCGTTGCGGGAGGAGAGCACTGTGAACGGCCGGCGTCTCTCCTCCCCGAACCGCTCAGCCCCCTGTCACAGTCCGGCAGAGCGTTGTGGCCGGACACAGCCAGCACTGTCGCAGGAGGCTGAGCTCTCCTCCCGCACCACTCGCTCAGCCTCCCGTGACAGCGTGTCAGGAAGGAGCGCGAGGTACAAACACTCAGCGATCAGTGATTGAGGACATAGTATGTTTACAATCTGTTTAGACCCCCAATATTTCCCCAAAGCCCCTAAGGTAAAGTAAAACAAAATTTAATAAAAATTAATAAATAACAATATAAAAAAAAAGTTTTTAAAATGTTCATTTCTGTTGCACCACTACTACTAAGCACGATACAAACAGTAAATGGTAAATGTAACAAGCAAATATGGCTGCCCTATGTGGATATGTGACTGAAGAGTAGAACACATTTATTATTTACAATAAATTGATGACAATCACATATATAGCTGAAACATTAGCAGATATAAAAGACTAATTAAAACCGACCTCACCTTAAAAAGTGATCGTTTTCTGTGGGATGTGACCACAGATGGTGGACATGCTACAATAGACTATACAGTCAGGACATCACTACTATCACAGGCTCTTTAGAAAATAATGCTCCCACATTTGTTCTCTCTGTTGCCCCCTTAAAACTACTTGAGTCCCATTTTGTTAATTTCCCCACAGGAATATCCATAACAAAATATAAAGATAAAAGGGGTAAGACAGGGCAGAAATGTAAACATGAAAAATAAATAATTAACTAGCAGAAATCACTAGAATTAATATCTTCTGGTTCTGGCAGCGTGGTATTATGCTAACATGGGGCAGTTCTAGTGGTACAGATGCTGTAGCATGGTGCTGCAGATGTTGGGGCATGGTTGTACATAGAACACCTTCTCTGACTTATTCTCTTCTCTCCTTATTGGCATGGAACCCAACTCCTAGTGCTGTTCTAGGATTTTCCTACATGACCGTTCACATGACACAGAGCAATGGGGGAAGTCTAAAAATGAATGTCCACACACTGCTGGAGGTCACATGTTGATCAGGAGGTTTGAGTGTGTATCTTTACCAGGAAAATGCTGACCACTGGCTTCTAAGACTTGGGGGCCACTCGGTCTGTATAATGTATATTTATTGCATAATAAGTGTGAGAACCTGTGATGTAGAAAGAATAAATACACTGTATACGTTAGATACCTCCTGATGGTGTATGATAACCTGTGTATTGCATCACTTATTTCCAGATAACATTTGATAATAAAGCTCACAGTGGACGGATTAAAATCACTTTAGATAATGATATTGACATCCAGGAATGCAGAGAGTGGCACGTGTCTGGGTCCAGTAAGTATTGCTTTAAAGATTTATTATCAAACACTCCTAGTGGATTTTTCTCTGGTATACTGAGACGCCGCAGTCGGAACGGATCCTGACAATTATGTCCGGATCCACCCAGCTGCGTGAGTGACAGCTGGCTCTGCCTATCTAGAGGCAGAGCCAGCTGTACCCGCCCCCTCCCCCGTCCGTTCCGCCAGTCAGCGCTGGAGGATCGGGGAGGGGGGAATCCAGTCCCTCCCCTGTCACAGCTCTCTGCCGGAACATGATCGAGAAGTGAGCGAGCGCCGGTATGTGTTTGCTCACTTCCCGATCTACTGAGCCGACCTGTGACAGTCTCATTGTCACAGGTCGGCTAGAACTATGAGTCTGAGTGAAAATCACTCACCGCATAGTTCTCCTTTAAACTGCAAGAAGCTTTTTTTTTTTGCTTATGCGTATGCTATGCCTGCTTCGAAAACTACCATGCACTGGTGCTCAGCATTGGAAACCTATATGCTGCAATTTCCAGTACATTCCCTATATCATTAGTGGACATTTTGTTAGATACATTTCCTTGGAAGAGCCATAGACATGGAAAAAGGTGTTTTGTTTTTTTTTTTGCATTCTGCTCAAAATATTTTGGATTTGCAGAGGATACCTGAGGTGCTCAATTGGTACTTTCATAGGGTTTGCAAAATTCCACCTTCGGCCCATGTTATATACCCTCACACTGAGTCTAATCCAGTTTTCTTACATACAGGAGTACTTAAAGGAAGATGTATTCATTGATTCTTAGGAAACAGAAGCAAATAAGCCTCCATACTTGTCCACCATCCATCCATATCACCTAGTATGTTAATATTTTGTAATATATCTTCATGAATTCCTTATTTATACCCAATAAGCACTGATCTTGTTATTCTTTACAGTACAGAAGAATACACATTACATGATGATATTTGATGCAGTTATCATCATCACCTGTATTTCCTCCCTAACCCTCTGCATACGTTCGGTGGTTAATGGAATTCACCTTCAAAGAGTAAGTCTCTACATGCAGCTTATAGATAAGGATACATTTTGAAAATACTTAATGTGTGGAAACTAGGGATGTACCGATACGTTTTTTTGGTATCTAGTACGAGTACTGATATTTTGCTTTCGGTACTCACCGATACCGAGTACTGATACCGGTGCTTCCACAGGCATAGAACTGGCTCCATGTTGGCTCCATGTTGTTTGGCCTGTTTGATTGTGCTTGGCTGGGAAACTGGCTTCCCAGCCAATGAGGAAGCTGGGCGGTGAGTAATAACCCGCCTCCCAGGGGGTTATTACTCACTTAAATAATGTGTGGAAACTAGGGCTGCACCGATACCGGTTTTTGGTATAGAGTACGAGTACCGATATTTTAGTTTTGGTACTCGCCGATACCCAGTACTGATACCGGTGCTTCTGCTGGCATGGAGCCGGCTTCCCAGCCAATGAGGAAGCTGGGCGGTCAGTAATAACCCGCCTCCCAGCTTCTTGATTGGCTGGGAAGCCGGCTTCCTGGCCAATCAGCATCGAGCTGGCTTCCCGGCCAATCAGGAAGGTGGGTCATTACTCACCGCCCAGCTTCCTGATCGCATGGGAAGCTGGCTTCATGTTCCCCTATGGCATTGACGGTCAGAGGAAGATTCGGTATCGGGGAAGGTATCGGAGCATTTGGGCATTGGCAAATATTCGTTATGGGCACCAATACGGATATTAGTATCTGTTTCGGTGCATCCCTAGTGGAAACGTTTCAGTACATACACCAGCAGAATTGAGGTGTGGATGTCTGCAAACTGCTTAGAGGAGTCACAAGAATTGCTGTAGAGCAGTTAAGATGGGCAAGGGCAGGGAAAGTTAGTAATAGCTCCTTATGGCCCTTCAAGGCCTGGTCAGTAAAGCACAACCTTTCCTCTTGTGCTGCTCCTAAAAGGCTTTAGGATAGAGAACATCCATGGAGAATAATGGCAGGCTCTCTTACAACATGCACTATTGTGAAGATGACACCTTATACAGTCCCAGCTTTATTGCATACTTGCCGGGTCACTAAAGAGTATATATATTCACTTTACAGGAATATGTCATGTATGTCCAACAACGGTTCTCAAAGGCTGTCTCCTGGTCAGACCAAATGGAGCTTGTCAATGGCTGGTACATCCTGATTATTGTGAGTGACATATTATCCATCGTAGGTTCCGTTCTGAAGATGGAGATTCAGGCAAAGGTGAGTGGACAAGAAGCACAGAAAATAAAGCATTAAAAAGATGTTAGGAAGAAAAGAATGGAAGAAGGGAAATATGGGAATAACTGCAACTGGGGATTTACTGTTCTTTTCCACTATATTGCAATATGTTTGCGTGAGCAGATGGAGATTGAACTGATGTATCTGAAATTTGTAACTCCTTAGTAGTCAATAGCACACTGACATGACAGGCGCAGCTTGGTTTAGATTTGGATATTTATCAAGGACAGACCTCAGGGTAAAAACAGATTATATAAACAAGCAGTAGCAATCTATTAATGCAGTAAAGGGCCATTCAACCAAAAGTTAGTATTTGAATCCTATGTCACTTGAGCACCATGCTGGTGCCATATTGCAGTGTGATGGAGCAAGCTAACAACTTGTTTGTTGTCCACTGCTAATGAATTGCATTATCGCTACTGATCCTTACATGACTTGTACTAATAGCAGCTGAGAGCTTCCATTATGGTAGCCGATTCCCTGTACCACCTGTGCAATTATTCTTCACAACTCCTGTTACGTGTCTCCTGGTACTTACTGGTCTGATCATTATTTTTAGCCATCATTACCACATATGACTCATCATAGCACCTGTTTTACAGGGTGTTCATAAGATCCATTGCCAGGTCTTAATTCTTTCATCCATATATTTGTCATTACACATTACCATATCTAAAGCCCTGTTCCCCCTGCTGTAGCATCTCTACTCCCTAATAGTTATTTTTAGTCTCCTGGCTTCATCTTCCCTATTAATATGTAACAATCAGCCTTGAGCCTTCACAAACTGGGCTGTTACTTAGCACTGCAGCTTAAAGTGACATTAAAGTCACATCCCCCCCCCCCCAAATTCTACTTTAAGGACTTACCTTATATGATGCCTCTTGATGCGATCATCTTCCTTTTCCCAGTAGTTTTCAGCAATCCTTTCAGTGCTGGTGACGGTCTCTGATCCAGCGCAGATTGCTGTCTCTTCCTGTCCCATGGTGTCTGTCTGCGTGCACGCTATCTGCATTGACTTACACTGTGTCTCTCCTCTTCTCCCGGCCGAAGATCTTTACTGCGCATACACCCGCCCCATGATCCTTCACGGCTGCTTGAGAATCTTCAAACGGGAGAGAGCGGCAGAGACCCAGGTAAGTTTTTACCTATTTAGTAACTTTTTTTTTTTTAAATGTTTTCATGTTTTTGCATATATCTACTGCTTGGTAGCAGTAGATGTATGCAAAAATAACCGAAGGTTTAATTGTACTTTAAGTCACACTGCAGTTAACACCTGCCCTAATCTGGGGTACTTAAAGTGATTTCTGGACATTGAGCCTGTTCCTGGTTGACAGGTCCTCCTTGACTTCTGTTTACACTTCTCGGGTTTATTTCTGTTACTGTGATTACATTGAAACATCGTTTTGTAGCTGCTCTGACTGTCTGCTTTTGTCTGTTGTCATCTCAGACCACCTTCCCGGGAATGTCACTTCTGATTATTTTGCTGTTTCAGCGTGTGCCCTGCCTATTAGTAAGCTGTCATCCCTGGTAAAACTGAGTTCACAAAACCTCTTATGACACTTGAATCATTTTTGCTACACTTGATTCCCCCTTCTACCTGATTTGTTAAATGGTCCTAGGTCCAAAGATCCTGGCTTCTTGTACCTCCTGATACAGAAACTGATTATGTTCCCTGAACACACTAGATTCTCGGTATGACTTTATCAATGAACTGTTCCTAGTTCTACTTTTCTATAAACTATTCATATTCTCATCATCGCTGTCACAATGACATCATAAAATATTAATAGCTTCATACAGCTGTTCCCGGGTTCTCCTGCTATATAAGCTATTCAGAGATCCATATACCTGTATTTCATACCATTTGAGCTATACACTATTCAGATCACTGCACCCGGTTTTATCTACAGTCAGGTCTATATACTATTCAAATATGTGAAGCGGCGCTATCACCCAACAAGTAAACAAATAATATGTGCAAAAAACAAATATTATATTGAACAATACTACTGTGAGAGAAAAAAACCCTATATGTGTGTGTGTGTGTGTGTGTGTGTGTGTGTGTGTACAGGCTCATGCAGCCAATTTAAGTGAGCAGCTTTAAGGAGTAATGCCCAGTTTTTCTTAAATTAATCGAGCGCAGAAGTCCCTGTAGATAATTTACAGGTCTATATACTGTTCATAGACCCTTTCCATGTATCTGTGTACCTGTACCTGATGCTTTTCTCTACTAACTGGTCCCAGCGGTGATATCTGAAACCTCAAATCATGGCCTGTATTAGAACTCTGCATTAAAACGAGCCGCTTCTTGAATAGAAATGAAAGCCAGTAAATAGTGAGGACATTTCAGAAACAAAATGACTAGACCAGTTGTATTACATGACATTTGCTAGATGGCTGCAATTCAGAGGTAAACATGTTCTAAGTTATTTTATATCATGGTCGTAGCAAATTTGTTTTTCCTTTTCAGTATTTTAAATTGTGATGCTTCTAAAAGTAAAATTTTTTAACTTTTGTACAATGATGTTGTTTTTTTTTCTTAAACAGAGCCTATCCAGTTATGATGTGTGCAGCATTCTCCTGGGGACATCTACCATGCTAGTATGGCTGGGAGTCATCCGTTATTTAGGATTCTTTGAGAAATACAATGTAAGTACTCTCTATGCCTCTGTTTTAATTTCCATTTGGTTTTGTAAGTATACTGTATTGATATTTCTATTGTATTTTTCAGGTGCAGATATCTCATGAATAGGGATGAGGGGAGTCATTTTGGCTACATTGATTTTTCCCTCAATGAAAATCTAAATTTTGCTCATTGAGCTGCTTTGGCTAAATGTTCTAGGAACAACAAAAAAAAAGATTTACACTTTTCTCTTTCGTTAGTGGGTGCGGATTTGGGTTTTTGGTGTATTTGGGGCAGAACTCAGGCAAATACAAGTTTACACAATTTTAAATGTAAAAAGAAACATCACCAATGGCCGGGTGTGTTAACTGTTCCGATCGCTTCTTTTTACCGTGCAGTTCAAACATTTGTATCGGCTGGATATTACAGCTCATGCTATACTTTCACACTGTGGCAAAGGGGCAAAATCTTACCTTGTGGCACAGAGCACACAACTTCCAAGCACTGAAGCCAGCTAATGATGCAACCCGAGCTATACCGCACCCTGGTCACATCACACGCCCCTTTTCACTAGCCTCCAATCAGAAAATGTCTTGTATTTTTTTAAAGAATACAAGACATTCTGTGATTGGGGGGGGTTAGGGGTGGAATTTGGCATCATCTTCCTCCTCCAATCACATAATGTTTTGTATTCTTTAAAGAAATACAAAACATTTGATTGAAGGATAGTGAAAAGGGGCAAGTGATGCGACCAGAACGCTGTATCGCTCAGGTCACAATGCTCCCTCATTTCAGTGCTCAGAAGCTGGGCACTATGTGCGGGGTGGGGGCAGCGTGCTGCAAGGTAAGATTTTTCTACTTTGCAGCCGCCCTCTGCGCATAACAGCCAGCTTTTTAATGTTAATTTCCACCCCCTGTGCGGTGTGTAAATTATCATTCTGCCCAGAGTGTGATATTAAACTAATTAGGTGCTGGAATTGCTTGTACCACTATCTGGTTAACACATAACCTGCATTGCATATATACAATGTATTCTGGAGCTGCAGAATTATCTATAATTAGCATAGAGACAGTTTTTATTCTTCATGTGGCCCTTAGAACCTTTACTTGCGAAACACAGAGATCGATGTTCATTTAGGGCCAGGAAGAAGGTAAAATGCTGACATCAGTCACCACATGACCAGCATATCAGGGACTTTGTCAGCACTGGTCTTATCAGTTTGGTATTGCCTCAGTGTCACAGCAGCATGAAGTGTAGCTACTGTATATTGTTATGCACTTCACATTTTATGCAAAGTTGTGGATGTGATGTAGATTATATTGCAAGAATGCCAGATTATGAAAAGTTATTTTTTACGTGCAATTGATTTCCACAGATCCTGATTCTTACACTGAGAGCTGCCCTTCCAAACGTGATGCGCTTTTGCTGTTGTGCAGCCATGATCTACCTAGGCTACTGTTTCTGTGGCTGGATCGTACTAGGACCCTATCACACCAAGGTAATGTACCAGCAAAGCACCATATTCTACCTAGGCTACTGTTTCTGTGGCTGGATCGTTCTAGGACCCTATCACACCAAGGTAATGTACCAGCATAGCACCATATTCTACCTAGGCTACTGTTTCTGTGGCTGGATCGTTCTAGGACCCTATCACACCAAGGTAATGTACCAGCATAGCACCATATTCTACCTAGGCTACTGTTTCTGTGGCTGGATCGTTCTAGGATCCTATCACACCAAGGTAATGTACCAGCATAGCACCATATTCTAAAAAGAGAAACGGTCTGATTATAGAAAATCAGATCAAGACAGTACAAATAAGGGTCGGATGGGCGAATTTTATAAAAGTGTAAAGTTTATTTTAATTTCATAGAAGTCGTGGGTCACTACACACTTCACCTACTAATTGTCACCAGATAACCCTGCTGAGATTGCATAACAGATAAAAATGAATCAAAAACAGATCAAAAAACTTGACATAACACTCATTCACTTCACATGCACACCAATGCCAACTGCTTAATCTTATGAACCGGTATAACTCGAAGTGAGAGCAAAAAACAGCGTTGTGCACAAAGGTTTAGAGATGAATCAGTTGAATTAAATATGATGTAATCATAGACAGCTATTTTCTTCTATTGGTCGTTTCTTCCAGATAGCACCATGGATAACAAACTCAAAAGAGTTTAAAATTGAAACATAAAGTCAAAGGGAGCCCTCCTTCTTTTACGGGGCTTCGTCAGATATTGGTAGGGGGTACTCACAGCTGCGGCCACAAATGTAACAGTTATGCTCCCTTTGACTTTGTTTCAATTTTCAACTCTTTTGAGTTTGTTATCCATGGTGCTATCTGAAAGAAATGACCCATAGAAGAAAATAGCTGTCTATGATTATATCATATTTAATTAAACTGATTCATCTCTAAACTTTTTTTGTGCACAACGCTGTTTTTTGCTCTCACTTTGAGTTATACCCGTTCATAAGATTAAGCAGTTGGCTTTGGTGTGCATGTGAAGTGAATGAGTGTTATGTCAAGTTTTTTGATCTGTTTTTGATTCATTTTTATCTGTTATGCAATCTCAGCAGGGTTATCTGGTGACAATTAGTAGGTGAAGTGTGTAGTGACCCACGACTTCTATGAAATTAAAATAAACTTTACACTTTTATAAAATTCGCCCATCCGACCCTTATTTGTACTGTCTTGATCTGATTTTCTATAATCAAATAGTTTCTCTTTTTGTATAGCCATACACAGTAGAGGGACGTTTGATAGCCCAGAATTCAAACTTTGTTTCACCCACATATAGGGTTAACCATTTAACATTGGGTTCTGGACTCTGGGTATAACTTTGTTTTTCTACATAGCACCATATTCTACCTAGGCTACTGTTTCTGTGGCTGGATCGTTCTAGGACCCTTTCACACCAAGGTAATGTACCAGCATAGCCCCATGTTATTAGGGCAGAACAGTAGGTTAGTGGTTAGCACTTCTGCCTTGCAGCACTGGGTGTCCACAATTCAGGACACTATCTGCAAGGAGTTTGCATGTTCTCCCTGTGCTTGTGTGGATTTCCTCTGGGTACCCCAGGTTCCTCGCCCCCTCCAAAGACATGCTGGAAGTTTAATTGACTCCTTTCTAAATTGGCACTAGCATGTGTGTGCAATATTGACCTTAGATCGTAAGCTCCTTGAGGACAGGGATTGATGTGAATATGCAGTATGTAAAGTGCTAAGGAAATTGTCAGTTTTATATAAATACCTGTAATAAAAATAAATAAAATAGTCCTTGAGAGCAGGTGTAGCTGTAGTGACCATTCTGCTTGTTCCTTTCCCAGTTCCGGTCTCTCAACACGGTGTCCGAGTGTCTGTTCTCACTTATAAATGGGGATGATATGTTCACTACATTTTCCATCATGCAACGGAAGAGCTACTTGGTGTGGCTGTTCAGCCGTGTCTACCTCTACTCCTTCATCAGTCTGTTCATCTATATGGTTCTCAGCCTGTTCATCGCTCTGATTACTGACACTTATGATACAATTAAGGTGGGTACATTTACAGCCACCTCCATTTTACTTTACTGCAGTTGTCATAAATCTCAAGTCTTCCTCCATGCTACCTTATAAACACGGTTGTTGACTGTGGGAACATGTGCCCATTCACCCAAAAGAGCATTTGTGAGGTCAGCTACTGATGTATGAGAAGACCTGCCTGGCAAATGCTGTTCCAATTCATCCCAAAGGTGTGCAGTAGGGTTGAGGTCAGCGGGGGCATCCCGAGGCCGGGTGTCACCCAGAGCAGATACCCCACCGTGACATCATCGAGCGCGCACGATGACGTCATCGCGCATGCGCGGTCTTCTTTTTTGTACCTGCCGGCGGCCATCTTGGAGATTGACGCTGGCAGAGAGAGGAGAGAACATTCATCCTGCGGGATAAGGTGTGCTGCTGGGTCCTCTCCTCTCTCTCCTGCAACTGTCCATGACCGAGTGCCCGACTTTTCAGAGGCGGTGACAACAAAATGTCAGTCATTTTGGTATCACCCCTCCAATGGTGTCACCGGGTGCGGGCCGCACCCCTCTTGTGAAACCACTGGAGGTCAGAGCTGATTTCAGGAAACAAGACTGCTGCTGATTTGAGCAGTGTGTAGGTAGGAATGTCAGACTGCTTGGGAGCCGGAATGTGTGCAAGAGCAGTGGTCTGACTCAGTGGCGTCCCGAGGCTGGGTGACACCCAGAGCGGTAACGGAGTGTCACCCCGCCGAGACGTCATCGCGCACGCGCGGCAGTATTCTGATACCTGCCGGCGGCCATCTTGGTGATGGACGCCGGCAGAGAGAGGAGGGGACAGTCACCCGGCAGGATAAGGTATGCCGCCGGGTCCCCTCCTCTCTCCTGATACTGTCGGGCGTTCGGTCCATGACTTGTTGGGGCGTTCGGTACATGACCGACCGCCTGACTTTTCAGAGGGGGGTGACACCAAAATGACTGAGAGTCATTTTGGTGTCACCCCTCCAATGGTGGCACCCGGGTGCGGGCCGCACCCCCCTTGTGACGCCACTGGTCTGACTGTGCAACGTTCTGCCACCACAGTGTGTTTTAGCCCTTGCTGCAGCATAAAGCAAGTATAAAAAAAGCTTAGAGATGCGTATTTAATACTGTAAATGCAGTCTGCAATATAGTAACAAATACAGAGAGTATGGTTGGGCTTAAAGGGGTTATTTTAGGAGTTAGGTTAAGGCCTCATTCACACTGCCGCGCATATACGCGCATATAATACCATATGCAGCATATGCAAATAAATGGCTCCATACACATAGCTGCGTATATTTGTGTAGTGTAAAAATGCGCAAAAACAGAATGGAACCGAGATGCGTCCGGGCAGCGTATTTCTGCGTATTTACGTGCATATACACGTGTACAGCTCATTAACATTTCTATTACGAATGATGCATTGTGGGTTTGCAAATAGTACGCTCATTATACACGCGTATATACGCAATATACAATTTTGCTCTTGCGTTGTGTGTGAATGAGGCCTTAATGTTAGGCTTAGCACCAACAGCCTCATGCTGAATTGTATCTGCACCAAGCTTCAAGTACTGAAAACAAATGTATCAGAAGTGTATTTGCTGCAAGATCCTGAGCTCTCTTGGATGTAAGCACAACATTACTCACGGTCAGGTAAGAGAGTTGTCTCATTTGTTTTTTTTGAGAAGGGAGTATTCTATCTAATGTTCTTTAGATGACTGTCCTATGTTTGCATAGCTTTAAATTGGATCTATCCGGGTCAGTGACATCTCTCCTAAAACAAAGAGAACTTTGCTTAGGTCAGTGTTGTAAACAAGTGCAGGACTTGATGTATTGAATCTCCTCTGGGGTTTTTCCATGTTCTGTAACCTACTTTTAGTGATTACAGGAATATTTTTGTTGGGCTCTCATGCCGGCAGATTACCAATATTTATTGTATGCAAAAAAAAAAGATTGTGATTTGGCACTCCATCTTTGCAGAATTTTCAGAAAGACGGTTTCCCAGAGTCAGAACTTCACAACTTTATATCAGAATGTAACGACTTACCGACATCGGGCCGGTACAGGGAAGATGAGGACATGACTATTTCTCTGATGTGCTGCTGCGAACGGTGAGTATTCATTACATTCAGATCATGCGTTTTCATCACAGAGTTTGGGGCATTACATGTAACATTTCTTCCTCCATCAGTGACCTATATTGGCTTGAGTGTATTTCCTTCATGTTTGGTAAGTTTAGGAGTTAGGTTAGAGTTGCAGTGAATGTTCAACCAAAGCTTTTTTTGGATAGGGTGGGGAAGTGTTAGAACCCCTTCCATCTGAGGCTTGGTTATAGAGAGATTTTCCCTCATTTAATGTTCCTGTGAGTACAGTTTCATCAGACAGGAAGTGAGGAAAAAGAATCCTGTGAGACAGTTCTGAATGGATGGTGAATATTGCAGCAAAAACTTCTTTTTAATTTTTACTGTTATTGGACTATTCATGTTATGTATGTATTGTTGCAACACATGCAATCAGAATGGGACTTTCTCACTCAGCATTTAGGATCATACATGTATAATACCAACACACTGTATCTTATAAATTCCCATTCTATTTATGAACAAGTATTAAAAACAAGAAACAAACAGCAAACCACTGTTAGGTGCACATACAAAAAATGGTATACCAACATACAGGCTGTATAGGTTTTACACTGTTTTTCCTATTTACTTCAATCAAAATCCATAAATTAGACATTCACCTGTATATGTGCTGGAGCAGGGCCATCCGTATCTTATTTTCCGCCTGAGGAGGCCAGGAGAAGGGGGGAACTGTGGAGTAATGCGGTCCAGAATCGTCTGAACTGCAGAGAGAGGGGGTTTGGGGCTACTTGTCATCCAGGTGGGAATCGGCGGGCTGTCAGCCACGAAGGGGGGTTGGTTTCAGTGTGTGTGCTGTCAGGCTGTGTCATTATGGGGACACCTCTGCGCTGGGGTATATTCAAGGTATAGGTCTTGACGTGTTTGTCTCATTTTGATGGATGTTTGTCGCCAATTTTTGACGAAAGACGGAAATAATTTCCTTTTACGCATGTGCTGTGTTCTTGCTGAGATTTTTGACGAACTAAACCCCCTCTGATTGATCCATTTTTGTTCGGTCAGAGGGGAAAAAAATTGACAGATCAAAATATTTGGATCACAGTATCAAAAACGAAAATCTGTTTTCGATCAACTGTTCGATCTTCGTTCAAAAGGCGCTTTGTGTATGATTTCCAAATGAGTATCCTACAATGTATGGCCACCTTCAAACATGTGAAAAGGAACCTAGCGCTCCATCTGATGACTGGAAATAGTTGGACCAGGGGCGTAACTAGAAATCCCAGCGCCCCATAGCAAAATTTTGTATGAGGCCCTATGATTTCAAGTTATACCCCTTGCAGAGCCCACTTGAGATCCCACACAGCCCACCCTGCAGAGCCCACCATAGGGCTGGTCGCACTCCTTACCTGTCCGCCTCCTCTTCCTCCACGCTCGCTGGTGGGCCCCGCCTCCTCCTTGGTCGTCGGGCCCGCCTCCTTCTCAGACACTGGGCTCCGCCTCCTCCCCTGCGGTCAACCACGGGCCCCGCCTCCTCCTCCACTGACGGATCCTGCCTATTCCACCGCCACGGCTGGCTCACATTGACTCAGCAGCGGCTCTGGAGACGAACACGCTGCTGCACAGATTAGTCAGTGATCTAATGAGCAGCGCATTCTTCTTCAGAGCCGCCATTGAAAGCCACCAGCAGAGGATGCCATAGCGACCCCGGCGGTCTGCTCGGCATCTGGCCGGGCCCCACTGTGCCCCGGGACGATTGTTACGCCACTGAGTTAGACATATTCATACCTAATACTTTTATAATTACTTGTCTAAAGAAAAATGTTTCCTTTTTATCTGTCCATACAAACATGTTTTTATGTGCTGATGTGAGCTTCTTTCTGTTTCCACAGGTAAAAAGAAGCTCAAGTTGGAGATGTAACTACATTACCGGGAGATGTAGAATATGTCAGACACATTCCTGCAAGCAGTAGAAAGCCTGTTATACTATCTTATGTGACGTTAGAAGAGACTACATTCCCATTCAAAGACTTGTGGCCCTGTCTGAATATACAGTCCTTTCAATAGATCTATAGGTTGAGCTGGGCTCTTTAGTTGACTTACTTATTTTAGAATGTATTATACTCATGACTATATATTTAGCTATATCTGTGTGCTTTCGGCAGTCCTTGTCTGACTACATTGTCTATGTAGCCTAACTCCATGTGTGTCGATTGTAAGTAATTATGTAAACCAAAGAAAAGGAACTTGTTATTCTCCAGCTCTTATGGCAGAAAAAAATCTATTCCCTTCTCTACTATTGAGGGGCACAGGAAGTCTTGAACTGTTGGGATAAGCTGCCACCTACGGTAGGATTGAACACTGGCAAACATAAATAATTGTGGGCCAGCCCAGGATAACCCCCTTCTACTCCCAGTATGGCTCAGTTTTTTTTGCTAGTGTCCTATGAGACTGATTTGTCTTTTTTGCTATCTTTTCCCCTTCATTTGTTTCTTCAATCAAAATTCCTGCTACATTGCTGCTGAGCTGGTCTCTGTATGTAACGATCCGGATCGGCCCCTCCTCAGCTTGACTTTGGAGTGCTTTACCTGGACCCTGCTGGACTGGACATTGCGGAGTAGCCTGGCTTGTTTTTGGAAATTGGCCTTTGCACTGTGACAATTTCCAGACTTGTGTGATCTGGTAAAAGATCGCCGTGGACCTCGCCAAGTCCAGAGCTGTGGAATCGCTCCAATACTTGACCCTGTCGCTAAACTTGCTATGTGAGTAGGTTGTGCAGATCGAGGACAGGGAGCTACCTCATTACTAGGAATGTAGGGTGCCTTTTAAGTTTCACACCTTCCATCTATATCCGCGTGGAAGGGGTTAACACAGAAATTCAATGCTGACATCATCATCCGCTGGGTGGAGTATCGTACACACGCTCCGTGCACTCTTTCCTGCCATTTGGATGTTCGTACTCTCAGCCACAAGGCCTTCTGCCTTACGGTGTAGCATTATGAGAAAACAAAAGAGAAGGGCGCCCACCCTGGTGCAGATTGCTTTTAATAATGAAAGGTAGCAAGACCGAGTAAAAACATATTCACAATGGTAGATCAAACCAGAGCATTCAACAAAAATGTAGAGGACATCGGTGAGAAGCTGCACAGTCAGCCTGTGTGCCAGCACAGAATGCCTGCGTTAACGCGTTTCCGGGGTCACGCCCCCTTCCTCAGAACGTTCTGAGGATCTACCATTGTGAGTATGTTTGTACTCTGTCTTGCTTCCTTTCATTATTAAAAGCAATCTGCACTAGGGTGGGCGCCCTTCTCTTTTGTTTTCTCACAATGCTACAGTTCCCTTGGCTGAAGTGGGGCAGCACCAGTAGTAATCCTTTACATGCTTTTTTCGGTTGATAATTCTACTTGGCGCTTTTGATTTGTCTATTCGGTTGCGGTGTAGCATGTCTGATTCCAGACACAGGGGAGCCAGTGCCACAGCACTGGGTGCCCTCAGCTCACATCCCGCTAACCGTTCTGATGCTACCGTTCTGATGCTACCCCCTTATTTGCCTGATCTGACCGCCTGGAATTTAGCCCTCTGCAAAAGTCTGTGCCTTCCTTACTGTCTTCCTTAGGTCTCTTGGCTGTTGCTGCCTTCTTGGCTCTGTCTAGGAAGGATTTTATTGAGGTTATGCAGCATTTAAGGCCCATCCAAAACAATTTTTTCACAGCCGCTATGTAGCGTTTTCTAGAGAGCTGTGACAGGAGAGATGGAGCAATAAAGAGGGTACGAAGGTGTCAAGGCACCTGTATGGTGGCTGGAATAACAAGAGGAATGTCATGGGTCACTCTAATAGAGATTCCTATCCACAACTGATGGTACTGAACGTGATCTGTGCCATCAAGTCCTGATGTCTGTGTTCCTTTAATTCCTCACTGTCAAACTGCAACACAAAGATGTAGAGACGGAAGCAATAGAATGGATCCCATGATGTACTGTCAGTATATGGCTTAGAGCACCCAAAACTAATATGTGAGTGGGGGCTGGTGGGTTCATTTGCCTTTGCCTTCTTGCATCTCTAAGGTCCTGGTGCCCAACGTACAGTCATGGGCTGTATGTGGTACTTATTGTTCGCCCTCAGGGCCCCTGCAGACAGGTTATCCTTACCTAGGTGCTTAGCCAGGACTGTGAAAGAAAATATTCTTTAGATTGACTTCCAGTAATAAAATGGCTCGGTTTATTTATTTTACGCTGTCTAAAATCAGAGAATAGATGGACAATTCCTAGTCCATCTATTCTCTGATTTTTTTTTTTTTTCCTTTTACAGTATATAATGGATCTTGCTGAAAAAAATATCGAATGTGGCACAAAAAACTTTAAGGGTGTATAGGGAACACATATGTAAAAGCACTGATTTGTAAAGAGATAGTAATAGCAGTGATCTCACACAGTCTCTTGCATTGCATTTCTCGATCTAGAACTGTCTTCTAAAGCATGTCCTCAGTCTCCAACAACTCCAGCAGCAAGTTTGCAGTCTCTGATAATGCCTTTTAGCATGCCCATAGTCCTTGACTGTCTCCTGTTGTATGTCTACAGTCTTTGACAGCTTTCTGTAGCATTACATTAAATATAATGTGTGGGTTTTGTGTGGTTAGGCTAGGGGCCACATGGGAGGCCCCTTTATTTCATAAGAGTTGACTACCTTTGCTCTAAGGAATTTCAAGGATGAATGTCACAAAGGAGTTCCTGGGTTTTCCCCTCTCCTTGGACCATTACATCAGCCATCTTTTAAAATACATGTAAATTCCAACAATGTAATGGACATGGCGGGTAGGCAAAGCTAGAAACACAGAGCTCATGCTTTCGGTAGAGGAAATTAACATACAGTGCCAGAAGGCGACTCATCCAAATATTCTGTACCCAAATATGAGTGTCCTGTTAACAATATTGACTTCATGCACCAAGTAAGAAAAATACGGGCTGGGGGTAGTGCTTCACTATCTCTAAATGGAATAAAGTTATTTTAGCAAAGTTTTTAATTTGTTTAACACCCTACACACAAACAAACCCCCTTGAAATCAGGAAATTGGTAGGCAGGTACAAAGCAAGACAATAACTGCGATCCGGGATCAGCAATAGCAAAACGTTTCCCAGCACACTCACCAGCCAGCATGCAAAAAAACTTGTCTCACCACTAAGGTTAATAACAGAGGTTTGGATACACGTCTTCTGCAGAATATGTGAAAGCCGCATAGCCGCGCCAAGGCACCTCCTATGTAGTACGGTCCTAACTCTAAACTATGAGAGTCTCCATCTTGGAGCACAAGTGGCAAAAGATCAAATTGGATGCAGGTTTGTCAGGACGATCCAGGATCAGTCTCAGAGTCCAGCAGCTGAAACAGCAGGCAAATCCGTGGTATAACAGGCCAAGTTTGGTACACAAGCAGACGGTAGTAGTATAGGAGCAGGTAGAAGCATAGTCAGCGAACAAGCCGAGATCAGTAGCCAAAGGTATCAGGTAGGAAGCAGAAGACGATAAGAGTAGTCGGTGAATCAGCAGCCAAAGGTCGGTACACGGATAGCAGTATGAGAGGATTGTATCACAGAAGGAGCAGGATGCAAGATAATGGCAGGAGCCAGTGGCGTAACAATCACCATAGCGACCCAGGCGGCCGCTATGGGGCCCGAGACACGGCGGGGCCCGGCCAGGACATCTCCCTGATGGCATGCGGGCCGCCTGGGTTGCTATGGCATCTTGCTCGGACAGCCAGGCTGCTGGCTGTCACTTGCGGCTGTGAGGAGGAACGCTCCGTTCCTTCTCACAACCGCTGCTGAGTTGGTGACAACCAGCAGCTTCGCAGGAGGTGGCTGGGCCCGTCATCGGCAGTGATCGAGGAGGAGGGGGCGGGACCCGGCGATCGAGGAGGCGGGCCCAGTGACGGAGGAGTCGATCGTGGAGGAGAAGGAGGCGGACAGAGGATCAGGGCTGACAGGTAAAAGGGCTTGACCGCCCGCCTGAGACCCTGCAGAGCCTACCATAGAGAGTCTATGGTGGGCTCTGCAGGGTCACCCTTAGGTGGGCTGTTTGGGTTATCAGGTGGGCATAACTAGAAATCACAGGGCCCCATACAAAATTTTGCTATGGGGCCCTGTCATTTCTAGTTACGCCCCTGGCAGGAGCACAATAATCTGGCAAACAGAAAGGGCAGAGGCGTGGCTAAAATAGGAAGTTGAAGGGAGGAGCAAGGAGTTCAGCAGCAACTGGGTTTACCTGAGGATTACACAGGAGATCAGGCAAAACTGGTTCTTCTGAGATAACAGACAGAAGCACATCTCATACACACAAAATATGGCTGATGAGCACAAATTACCTTTTTATATTTCATTATTTTCATTGATCTGTTTTTCCTCATCTATGTGTCTTGCTGCCGCTGTTTGGGTCTTTTGTTCTTCTTTAAAAACTTCTCAAAATAAACTGACATCAGAACTCCTTTAAAATAATCAGTAGTTGGTTTCTTTAATGAATGTAATGAATCTTTTAATATAAATAAATAATACTATCAGATTGTTAAATACATTGAAGCCAAATACGAAAGAAAACATTTTGTAGATACAGCAGGGAACAGATTAGATTCTTTATTAGATTGTTAAACAAAAGCCGGAGTCAGGAACCAGGAGATCAGCCTCCAGAGTCAGGGTCATACACGGAGAACAGGAACAACTGCAGAGCACTTGGTGGATTAGAACATATGTAAAGGCGGAGACTGAATGCACAAGCTTAAAGTGACATTAAACCCTCAGATTTTTTAACATAAACCAATACTGTAATCTGCCTTACTGTAATCCATGGTTGTTTCCCTTCTCTTTGCTGCTCTTCCTTTTAAATCTATATGTCTTCTCATGCTTGGGGACAACTTCCCTTTT